CAGCATAAAGAAATGTACTGTATCTTCAACTAATATTCCACAACAGTAACCAGATGATATCCTGTGGGATATCCTACCTCAGCACCAAGTTCTGGATAAGGAGAGAAATGAAATCTGTCTTCTCTACTGGAATCTCCAGTAAAGGAATCCCCTATCTAGAAAGGTTTAGATTGTTTCACCTGGTATGATTGTGTTTGGGACTACTCCCTTCCCTGAACTCAACAGCAATGATAAGACACTAAGTGTTTGGAAACACCCACAGAGACCGCAGATACAGGGCTTCTAACTTAATGGGAGTAAGAAACCACAGGAGGCCAGGGTCATTTGTGGTAACTTAAGATTCCATGTCCAAACTGAACCTGGATCTTAGAAGCTGTCTAAATGTGAGGCAGCACCTGTTGGAAGCAGCTGGCACCCTTGGCCTTGGTTGAAACGCATATCCTCCCAGTCAAGGGCCTTTTCATTATTCAATTAGTTCTGGACCTGACTGTCAAAGTTGCTGTGAGCATGAACATGCTTTTCCTGAGTTCTTAGTGGTAAGTTTGGCACACAGGCACACAGGTAGGATTCAGCACACAGGCAGAAGGTGAGGAGACTTTCAGCACAAAGTTAGCAGTCCACTATAGTCAGACCTGTGGAGTGCCAGAGAGCATTCCACAGAGGGCACAGCCACAAACCCAAACCTTCCTGCACCTGGTAACATGCTTACTCACCCGAAGCCTCCAGCAGCATACCTAAAGGCAGCTGTGGCTTAGGAAGTAAGCCATGCAATCTTCCAGCCTCTGAGGTGCCCCAATGCCAGTTCAGCCTGGGAGAGTCCAGACTGGTTTCTGAGCAAGCTTGAGTAGACTTCATAAGGGTTCTGTGTGCCAAAGCATTCCTGTCACTTCTTAGAGCTCACCTGTGCTCACCGATTACTCTGTTTCCTTACAGTTACACATGTTAATATTCACAATGGCTCTTTTTTGCTGGGGGCTCTTTCCCTAACCACTCTCATTTGGCACCCTTACATTGTACCATCTCCCATGCTTGATAATGTTAGTGTCCATTTTCCAAGTCTGCATGCCCCACTTTCCTGTGAATTCCTAAGGAGGCAGTAAGAGATGAGGATCTGTGTGTCTGGCCCAGGGTAGGTGATTAATTTTGACTGCATGCAGACAGATAGGGACCCATGTGCCTGTGGGGCTCTGATAATGCAAGAGTGAATGCATTTTTCTTCCTGTTCTTAAGGGACTTTATAGATGACAGAAAACTGTTTTAAAAGAATAATAATGGACAGGTGACTCACAGGCTAAGGGCACTGACTGCTCTCCCAGGTTTGATTTCCCGGCATCCACATGGTGGCTCACAACAGTCTGTAACTCCAGCTTCATAGGATTCCACACCCACTTCTGGCTTTCATGGACACCAGGCATGCACGTGGTGTATAGATGCACATGTAAGCAATGTATCTACACACATAAAAAATTAAATTTAAATAATAGAAAACCCACTGACACATGATGGTCCAGGCTTAGCTTGTCATGTGGGCATAGCTGTGAGGAGAGAGGTGTCTGCTCTGGGGTACTTCCCAGAAGAGCTAATACATAATCTGGATTTGGAACTCATTGGACTAGCAGAAGTTAGCAGCGAAGAAAACAGGAGTGTGGGGGCACTCTCAGCTCCAGGGTGGGACAGGCAGTGAAGATGAAAGTGACAGACATACCCAGAGCCCCAGGATGGGCAGGAGGAGTCACAGAACTCAGGGAGGGCCAGTCATGCGGAGTGTCTCCCCACGGAATCTGAAGAAGCCCAGAGGCTGTGAGAGCACAAGGCGGTGCTAAGTTTCTAAAGACTGCCCAGCAGCACCAGAGAGTGGGCCGGGAGGTCATGGTAAGGAGATCAAGTGAGCAGGAGCCCTGGGCCCCCAAGACCCTGTGGCATCCAGCAGAGACAGTGAGGTGTTCAGTTCCTGGTGACACCTGGGAGGCTGACCTAGGACAGCTTAGCTACTTTGTGTAAGTAAGAACAAAGGGTAGTAAAGATGCCTCAGCTTGCCCTGGGCACGGGATGGAGGGCAGTACTTGGTAGGAAGTATAGGAGAAGCTGGGGTAGCCAGATATTCCTTTGGGACACTAGCTCACAAACAACGACATGGAGACTTATTATTAATTACGAAAGCTCAGCCTTAGCTTAGGCTTGTTACTAGCTAGTTCTTACAGCTTAAATTAATCCCTATTTTTAAATCTGCATTCTTCCATGGGGCTCGTTATCTCATCTCCATACTGTCCATCCTGCTTTCTCCACATCTGGCAACCTCTTCCTGGAAGTTCTGCCTTGCTATCCTCTCCTGCCTAGCTATTGGTGTTCAGCTTTTTATTACTCGATCAAGGTGCTACACCTTCACAGCAGCTGGCAGCTTGAGCGCCAGCCCAGGGTGGCTAAGAAGTGGAACGAGGATCAGGTGGGATTTCTCAGCAGCTGTGCTCCTGAGACTTAGAAGAGCAGCCCAGACAAGGAAAACAAAAGCAACATTCATCATCAAACATTGTCTGGAAGAGCCTTTGTGTCTCTTAAGGGCCAAAGAGAGCACACACACACACACACACACACACACACACACACACACTCACTCTCTGGGCCCCCAGCTCTTTGGACACACACACACACACACACACACACTGGGCCCCCAGCTCTTTGGACACACACACACACACTCACTCTCTGGGCCCCCAGCTCTTTGGACACACACACACACACACTCTCTGGGCCCCCAGCTCTTTGGACACACACACACACACACACACACACACACACACACTCTGGGACCCCAGCTCTTTGGACACACACACACACACACTCTGGGACCCCAGCTCTTTGGACACACACACACACACACTCTGGGCCCCCAGCTCTTTGGACACACACACACACACACACACACACACACACACACACACACACTCTGGGACCCCGGCTCTTTGGACAGGTCTCACTGCAGGACCCCACCTGAAACTCCTGTGGTCTCTACAGGTCTGCACTGATCTGCCATGCCCACACCTCGGGCCTGCACACCAACACAGCAGAGGGGCCTGTCAGCACATCCCCACTGAGCTGAAGCCACACGCTTTCTGAGAAACAGTGCACCGGCCTTTGCCACGTTATCTGTTGTCTCCATGTCTCATCCTGAGTCTCACAGAAAACACCTGCTTAGACTTGGGCTTTAACCCCACTTGTCTGGTGGCTTTGGACATTAGTCTCGGTGGAGCTTTGGGACAAACAATGGAGTTCCCCTGCATCCACGTATTATCCTTTATAAGACTTGAGGTAAATATGGTAGACTCCAAATCAGACATTGTAAAATTGGGGCTACAGCACTGGCACAAAAACAGGCTCATCTGTCTGGAGCTCGGAATTAGAGGTAGTTTGGGACTCCAAGCCCCATATGTCTCTTGGGAGGTCTCATGGTTCTGCACATGCTACATTCACACCCAGACTTCTGGGCTAGGCGGGTCTGAACACCTGGTCCCAGGATGTGTGAGCAAGCAGCAGCTTTTGGGCAGGAGGCGATGAGCAGGGGCGGGTTGTAAGGTGACTAGGAACGAGGAGGCAAAGAAAGCACAGGTGGCAAATATCAGGGAAGGGCCGAGCGTTGACAAGCATGGTTCTCACCCGGATCCGTCCAGTTCTTAGGGAAGGGGGCTGCAGGAAGGGAAAGACCCTAAAAGCCAGTCTGCACCGTGTGCTCAGGCCCCACGGTCACAGGACCCGCCAGGGCCCTGCAGACTTCTGGGCCTCAGGAGGCCTCTGGGAGGGGCTGGCATTGGAAAGCCAAGGTGAAGAGGAGCAGGGTACCAACCTGACCCGACACTGGAGGTGTGGGAAGCTGTGGGCTGGGAGGTCTCCTCCCTGCCATGGACCAGTCACCTCAATCATGGAGCTCTGTGGCTCTTCGCAGGTGGGACAGCTTTGTCTGAGCTACATCGATGGCCCCGAATCTGGTCGTTTGACTGTTATTTTGCCCTTTGATTTTGGTAACAATGAGAGTTACAAGGAAAGCGACCTCCCTCCAGAAGTCAATATTCCTTTCTCTTGTCACAATATGCACCTGAGCCACCAACATGGCATGGCTCCTGTAAGACACTCTGGCTGTAGTGTGACACTTGCCTCCTGCTTGGAAAGGTGGTTTAGTATGATCAGAATTGTCACTTTGAATTCCTTATCCAACTTAGCGAGGTAGCACCTTGGCTCACTGTGAAAACAAGTCAGGCAGCAAAACCCTATCCTCACTCAGTCTGGAGTTTGAGGTCAGGGGGTATGTGGGAAATTGTTTCCTTATCACATTGCTGTTCAAAGGTCACCAACGCTAAGGTTTTTTTGGGTGAGACTGATCAAAGACTGTATCAAAGGCATAGCTTGCAGGCAGGCCGCGTGACAAAGTGTAGTCAGTCACAGTCTATGCTGTTGAAAGGGGCCCTGTTCAACATGGCCTCAGTACTGTACACCCACTGTTCAGACAGATCCAGATAGCTTTGCTGCCATATTTTACATGCCAAGAACCTGTTCCACCAATCACACAACAAACACCCACCTTATAGGCCAAACAAAGCAAGGGGGCATCCCCCAGTGGCCAACTACCGTGTCCACCCCACTTTTATGAAGTGCCAAGGCTTTTCTGGGGGGTTGTGGTTACGTTCTTAAAAACAGCCATGTCTCCAAAAGAGAATTTGCTCTAAGAGGCCCCTGCTTCCTCCTGGAAGCTGGTCAGTGTAGTGTCTGCTATCCTTGAGGGTGACTTGGCTCCGTTCCCTGCTATTGGACAGGCATTCGAAGGTGGAGAGGACAAAGACAGTCTGGCCTATGCTGTCATGGGTTAAACAGCATGTGCATTTCTAGGCCTAGCAGCTGGTGAATCACACCAGAATGAATTGACTTCAGGGCTGGCCCTTTAAAACTGAATCATCCTGCTTGCTAGCTCCTCCTCCAAGGAGGTTCCTTATTAAATGAGAGCTGTGGCTAAGCCACGTTTTATTCTGACCCTGTGGTCCTCCTGGGGAAGCTGCAGCTTGTCAGCATGGCTCAGGAGTTTGTGAACTGTAAGATCCAGCCTGGGAAGGTGGTCGTGTTCATCAAGCCCACCTGCCCCTACTGCCAGAAGACCCAAGAGATCCTCAGGCAACTGCCTTTCAAACCAGGGCTTCTGGAATTCGTGGATATCACAGCCACCAACAACACCAATGAAATCCAAGATTATTTACAACAGCTCACCGGCGCGAGAACAGTGAGTGTGTTCAAAAGCTGAGGAAAGCCCCAAGGGCCACTGTCTCCTTTCAGAGCTAAGCCGACATCTGTGCCTTTTCTAGGTCGCCACTGCCAGGACATCCAGAGGGCTTTGCCGGGTGTGGGGGAGGGAGCTGAGGGAAGAGGCTGGTCGGATGAGCAGGACTGCCTTGGGGGGTGACAAGGCAGCATGGTGATGTATGGAGCAGAGCCAGTGGGCCTGGCAGCTGAGCTGAAGGCAATTAACTGTCCTTTGTCTGGAGGCTTTGTCTTAAGCACATTTGGAGCGACAGTGTTCATGTGACAAGGCAGGAGGCAGCTCCTAGGCTGGGTGTGACATGACCTTCAGCTTTTTTGTTGAGGAACTCGGCAGCATACACACTTCTTCCTCTGTCTGCACGTGTCCTGGAGGGGTCTGTGACCCTTCATTTTCTTTTAGCTAGGCTTTCCTCATCATCTGGAGCCTCCGTTCTTCATCTAGCCCCACTCACTAGAAAAAGAAATCCTCTACTCCTCCAGTTGCCCCTTGAGCTGCCTTAACGATAGGATATTTTAGGCCTGCTGCTGCTCAGGCCTGGTAATCACAATAACTTTTCAAACGATCTGAAAGTTTTTGCCTTGAAGCTCGTGGGTGACCCGGGCTACACGATTAGAGGGGCACTTCAGAGTCCTGTTCTGCAAAGGCTCTGTGTGGCTCTCTAAGAACCTCTAATTCCCTCAGAAACAGCTTTCTTTGTGCCTGGGCTGCTGGTGGGATGCCCAGCCTAGCAGGCTCTAAAGCTGGAAGGGCGAGTTTGTCTCACTGTTACCGAGTGCTGGGGGACAAAGCCTAGGACCTGGTAGGCCCAACAAGCCAAGAACTTTGGCCACCTGCCTCCAATACCAATTAAAGAGACACGTGACAGGGAAAAGCGGAGAAAAGAAACGTATTCAATGAGGATTCACTGGGAAGATGAATGAAGAGGTCCTGTGACTCCCAAGTCCATGAAGCTTAGGGTTTTTTGTATGACAGGCTGGAGGTTAACTTTGGGTGACTTCTCGGATCACTCTCAATCATCAGTTATTTGAGACAGGGTCCCTCACTGAGTCTGCACTGGCTGGGAGCCAGAACCTCCTACATCAGCCTCCACAACGGTGGGACTTTTCCTGTTGGCTCTGGGGGATAACCCTAAGGCCCTCACCTGTGGTGGGCCATCTCCTCAGCCTAAGGGTTAGGTTCAAGTAGAAGGCAGGAGGTTTATGGGCTGGAGGGGGTGGTTCCCATCCACTGTGGCTTCATTCTTCTCACCTCAGGTCCACTTGGTCAGTGAGGGCCTCAGAGCTGTGCAATCTCTTCCTGTGAGGCAAGTCCTTGCGCTGGCTGGCACCAGGACTTCCCAGCACAGGGTTCTGGGGAAATTGAATCTGAGGCCCGTTGTTTAAACAGTCTGAGAGACAAAGGGAAATGCCCAGGGTCTCCCCTGGTGGAAGTCACACCAACTTAAGTTCCTTTCAGGGGACATTGTAGGCAATACATTTCCTACTTGAGGTTTAGTGTGACTTATGGGGTTTTCTCTGTGATCTGGGTATAAAGCCTGGGAAATTCTCATTCAAAAATCTGTATGCTAGTGCAGACCAGGGGTGTGCTAGTTTCCAGGTATAGGGTGAGGTCTTGGAGCAGGGACACAAAGTGGAAAGAACAGTTGTGAAACTACAGGCCCCTGCACTGGCTGACATCCACCATGGGTCTTCCTGGAGAGTGGTCCCCAAATTTCCTTAGCCAATGGAATCACCTGGGAGCGTCTCAGACAATCCCATGCTCAGGTCATACTCCTAATTAGCCCCCCTAGAGCAGAAATGGGAGGCAGCCATGAGTAATAATGTAAAAGACCTGTAGGTGGTCCCAGCTACAACAGGATTAACTAAAACTCTGTTCTGGAGAAAAAGAAAGCAGCAGTTTGTACTGACCTGTAAACCAACACTCTTTTATAGTGGTCTTTTAAGTTTAGATTTTCAAAAGGTGTGTGTGTGTGTGTGTGAGTGAGTGTATTCATGTGTGTTTGTATGTGTGTGGTGTATTCATGTGTGTATATGTGAGTGTGTGGAGACCTTGGGATGTGTTTCTCAGTCACTCCCCACATTAGTTTTCTGAGGCAGGGTCTCGCTCTGGAGCTGCATGTTTGTTATTTTTTAGACTGGCTAGCCTGTGAGCCCGTGGGATCTGCCTGTCTCTGTACCCCACTCCCAGTATTGTGCACTGCCATGCCTGCTTTCTGCATGGCTGTTGAGGGGTAAACTCAGGGCTGCACAGTGAGCCATGCCCCTGATCATATATATATATATATGTATATATCCCTTTGACAGGTAGCAGAGGGGCTTTGTTAAGTTACACATTCCAAAGATGTCTATGTGTTCACTGAATCTGACGCTGAGGGGGGCAAATGTGGTTATTTGAAAGAAAGTACCCCCCAAAGGGCGTGGCACTGTTAGGAGACTGGCTTTGTTTGAGGTCTCTTTACCGGCTTCAGTCTTTGGCTTTCTGCACCACATAAGCTGCACGCTGAAGGCTCCCCACCCTGATGACAACGGCTGAACCCCTGAACTGTAAGCAAGCCACCCCAATGTTTCCTTTATAAGAGTTTCGTGGTCATCGTGTCTCTTCACAGCACGGTGGGCTAAGGTCATTCCAGATTGTAAAGCTGGCCCCGAAATGTCAACAGTCCCCATGCTTCACAGTCACTGGCACTCCAGTCAGTCCATCAGTCTCTGTGCATGTGTGTGTGTGTGTGTGTGTGCGCGCGCGCGCGCACACACACACACACACTCTTTCCAGGAATCTCATGAGACAAGAGACTGCAGGAGGGACAGGGTCTGGCTGAAACTGAGAGATAGTCTGAGGCCACACAGAAGAATAACTTAGAGTACAAAACAAAACAAAACAAAGGAAACAGGTTAGAGTAGTTGCCCTCATCTGTCTCCTAAGAGCTCACTCCACAGCCTGCCTTGAGTGGCGAGGTATCCAGTAACTGGGAGCTGCAGTGTTTTTGGTGCCTGTGGGAGTCAGTAGCCTGGGGACCTAACACATAGGTTGACTCATATTACTTGGTTTTGTCAAGCTGTGATACACTAGATGTTAACTTTTTAAAGATGCCTTGTTGTTACAAGGTATTTTATTTCATGTTATTAACTTTGTCTGAAGCACATTAAATGTTAACAACTTAAAAAAAATGACAGTGGTTTGTAGCAGAAGGGAAAAGTGCTGAAGAAGCTTTGAGTGTCGCATCTGAAGAAACCTGACCAACAATGGTCAACGTGGACATTTGGGTGCTAGGAAGATGGCTCAGTGGATGAAATATTTACCTCACCAGCATTAAACCAAAGAAGCCGTGCACACAGGGCAGCCTGCTTGTAATCCCAGCACAGGGGGAGCAAGGACCCTGCTTCAGTTTAAAAAAATAAAACAAGTAGGCTCACTGTCAGCCTCGGGCTCCACACACAGGAAGTGAACCCTAGAGTTGCAGAGAATTCTGGGAAATCCCATTCTGGAACTTCCTCCCAGGAGAGGTGTGGGTCAGAGGTTTGAGTGACAGATGTTCTTCCTCTTCCTCAGCCTAAATGTTTGACGGCAGCTTTGCTGATGCCCCAACTGTGGAGGTTGGGGGTGGGAGGGCAAGATTCCTTCAAACTTGCCAGATGGCACAAAAAACTCCACCCTGGGCAACAGCCAAATTGCTTCAATACCTGTCTCAGGCACATGACCCTATAGGACTTGGAAGGAAGCAGGGGAGTGTGTGTGTGTGTGTGTGTGTGTGTGTGTGTGTGTGTGTGTGTGTGTTGAGGGGGAGCTCAGTCACCCTGAGAGAAATCAGGGACTGTTCTGTGTAGACCAGTGGTTGGAAAGTGACCAGCACCTGGGAAATGGTTATAGATTCAAACTCCTGGACCTTACCTCATTTCATCTGGATCTCAAAATGGGGGTTGAAAGAAGACTCTTATTGAAGCAGACCTTCGGGGTTCTGATTCCTAGTCAAAGGAGAAGTGGCTCTCAGGAGCTGACCCCTGCTTTTCATTGCATTCTTGCCACTAGGATTAGCCAAACCCTGTGTATCAGACCTTTTTTACCTCACAGCATGAGGGCAGCAGTTATATTAAACCCCAAAACCCACATAGAAAAGAAAAAAGCAGCCAGCTTGTCCCCCAGCACAGGGAACACAGGGGAGGGAGAGAGCTTCCTTAGTTTATTTAAAGAGCTTGATCCAGGAAGACACTCGGTGTTACCCTCCGGCTTCCACAATGGGAAGAAAACTGGAAATGTGGACACCATGGGGATAGTGAAGATCGCTTGAACCCAACGCACATGCTCAAGAATGCATAACATGGTTGCCTTGCTTAAAGCTTGGGTGGGTTTTACTTAACAAGTCACTGTCTTCAACAGAGCCACTAGGGACTGCTGCTGAGGGTACAACTGAACATGCCCAAGTATGAGGACATAGGGTGGAAGAGCTCTCAGACTTGAGGACCTCCTTTCTTCTGAAACCGCAACCAGCATTCCACGTGACTTTAGGGTTCCTCCCTCATCTGGACTTGTCTCCCTGTAGCCAACAGAAGCGACGTTGTGCTGCTTGCCTTTACAAGATGCCCCCAACTCCCACCCTGCCCTCCCCAGCAGCCAGCCTCTCCTGGGATTCAAGAATACTTGCCCAGGCTGACCTGCCAGAAAGGAGTTATGTGGGGTTTTTCTAGTTGTCAAGCAAAGAAGATAGCTTATATAACGTGGGTTGTGGCACAGGGTTTTGATTATCAGCTTTGTAATTTTTAAATCCTAGTTCTCCCTGGGCCCCCTTCTCTATAAAACAACCAACCAAAAAAAATGCTACTAGAATTTATCCACAGTAATTCAACCTCTTTCTCATCCTCACATTTTAAATAATTCACTTTGGAGTCCTATACCTTCTGAGGAAAAACAAGCTCACTCTGTGTCCCTCCCCCACCCACTGTCCCGTCGTCTGTCTGTCTGTCCGTCTGTCTGTCCGTCCGTCCGTCCATCCATCCATCCGTCAGCTATGTTCCTTGTGTTCAGAGGGCCTGTTACTTCCCAATCATCAGGTGACTTAGCAGAGTCCCTTTCTCCATGGCCGGGCAACCTTCATGTAACACCCCTGGTCACAGTGAGGGCTCGTCCTACTTCCTGGGGGTCTGAAAGCCTCTTCACCTCTCTGATGAGTGTCTGAACAGGGTTCCAAGGAGTGGCAGTGACTGATTCCAGCAGTACATTGACCATGGCAGTTTGGGCAGCAAGCCAGAACATATCACTTTCTTTGGACCCAGAGCTCAGCATTTCAACATTTTACCGATGGCAAGGGACTAACTAAAGGAGACTCAAACAGCTCACTGCCGTCTTCTGGTCGAGGACATCTTACCTGCGCTTTGCTAGCAGGGAGATGCACTATCTAAGAAGCCTGAACCTACCTTCCAGCTGCACTGAAAAAAGCAGCATGCTCCCCGTGGAGGGGGGTTAGTAGACAGTCTCAGGCCTGCTCCCACCTGCAGGGAAGCCAGAAGGAAGCCTGGCGTTCTCTCTGCATCATTTGTCTGTAACGTGGAAAACACTGTCAGTGCCCGCTCACTCCATCTGCAATACCTTTTCCTACCTTTTTGCCATCCACTGCTGAGGATTGAACTCATGCTCAGTAGCTGTGCCTCTGAGCTACAACCTAGCCCTAGTAACTTTCTTTAATGACTACTACTCCTAGAGCTTTGTTTTAAAGGTGTCTTCAGAATATTGTAGAACCATTTGTGAAGCTTAGCATGGTAGGCAATGCTGGGGAGGCTCCTTGACTACCCTGACTTGCTTGCATCTGCAGGTTCCTCGGGTCTTCATTGGTAAAGATTGCATAGGAGGGTGCAGCGATCTAATGGCCATGCAGCAGAATGGGGAGCTGATGGCCCGCCTGAAGCAGATAGGAGTGCTGCGGTAATGGCAGGAAGGCAGGTGAGTGTTGACCTGGGCGTCAGGAGACAGTGGCATTCTACTGCCTTCTCTATTACGCTGTAGGAGGACATTCTGGGTTGGGTTGATTTGAGGAATTGAGACAACACTTATTGATGAGTTTCACAGAGGGCTGAATTGTACCAATGAGAGAAACCCTTTCGATGTAGCTTTATTTTAACAAATGCATTGTGCTAGACAAGGCACTAAACACAAATACACAAAAGATAACACAGACCTTCAGTCCCTGGAGATAGACAGATCACTAACAACTAAATCATTGCTGGCAGTGGAGGAGGGTCTCTTCGGCAGGGCTGCCTGACAAGGACTCAGCTAGCTAAAGCCGAGGAGCAGGTGTGGGAAGCAAGGAAGGCACTTCCAAGGGATAGCAGAAGCAAGACTTTAAAAGGGACAGCAGGGAGGAAGTAAGAAATGAAGACAGGGCCACAGCAGGAGGCCATGAGGAGGATATGATTTAAGGTGAAACGAACACGTTTTGTTTGTTTTTCTTGTGTTTGTATGTGACCTGTGTCTAATTGACTTCTCAAATGCCAAACCGGAAACCTCAAGAACTTTTTAGAAAGGGCCAGTGAGAAGACTGAGGTGCCCTCTTGGGGTTCTTATCCTTACTGATAAGAGAATTTCCAAAGAAAGCCTTCAGGGTGGGCAAGTTGTAAATCTTGGGAGTTTCCCCAAAGACGAACATGGAGATACGGAAAAAAGCCATGCCCTTTGAGCTAAACCAACATGGGAGTCAGGAATAGGAAAGTCAGAGTGTGAACCTAAGTGTGAGGGAAAGTTTACTAGAGCAGAGATGGAAGAAAAGGAGGCTCTGAGCTCCCAGGTGATTCAGAAACACAGGCAGGCTGTGGAGTTACATGTCTGCAGGAGACTGTATCAGTAACAAAGGAAAAGGACATCTCATTAAAGGGGGTTATCCTTCCCTTTCCTCAGCACAGCTTGAGCTGGGCCTGCCTTGTTGATGTCTGGACAGGTGATGGGCCAGACCAATTGGATCGGCTCTTAAGGGAGGAGACATGTCTCCACTGAGAGGGAGACTCCCCTCTTGGTTGGAAGGCAACAGCTTTCCCTTAATGGACCTTGGTTGCTATAGTAACACCAGGATGCCTAGGGTCTGATGTAAACCTGTCTGTGACCTCCAGCATTGAGAACTAGCATGCCTCCTGGGACGCAGACACAGAAGACTCAAGTGTCTCTTTTATGGAAGAAGAAAGTCATGATCTTTTGTTGTGTTTTTTGAAACTGGGTCTCTCTGTGTAGCCCTGGCTGTCTGGAACTCACTCACTCTGTAAACCAGGCTGGCCTCGTATTCACAGAGATCCGCCTGCTTCTGCCTCTCAGTGAAAGTAATGATTCTTTAATGTAGAAGTTCTCTGAGAGGCCGCATGCCTCAGATCAACAACTCCTCCTTTTAGCAGTTCATATGTTTGTGATGGTCACTCATGACAGGGATGGAAGGAGGTCTGAAAAAGAATACAGTTAAGTCTCTAGGCCTGAAATAGTCAATATCTGTCTTTGGATCTCTTTTTTGCAATATCACAGCTGGTGAGCATTGTCTGTTCAGGGAAACTGTGTTCACACCGAGCTCTAAACCACTAAAAGCCCAGTTAGTGGTACCCAGTGGCTTCTATTCTAGAACATGTTTAGCACTTCAGGCTGAGGTTAAGAATGAAACAAAGGAAACAGCATTTCTGCAGCGCCCTGTGGTGTGTGTGTGAGACTCTTCACAGTGGAGCCTGCCAGCACCATTCTTTCCCCTGTCCTATGCTGTCCCTCTGTCCCTGGCAACTCCTGCCAAGGCCACCTGCAACAGATGTCTCCAAATGACTTGAGTGTTCTGGTGTGGGAGGGGGAGGCTGTGTTATTTATCATGTGAAATGTAGCTCTGTCTCTTTCCCCACCCAGCAGACCCCATGCTGAGAGCAGCTGTCCAGCCATGCTGACATCAGTGCCTGAGAGCTGACCTGTATCACAAAGATGTCAAGATCTCCTGGTGACTGGGATTTTGAACAAAAACAGCTTTTATTTCTTCTTTTCTTCAGCACTAAAAACTGTTGCAATTTGCTTTTACCCACCCAGCCAATCAGCTTAACAGACCATGCTAGTTAGATTATGCATTCTTCATGTACCACCGTGTCTCCACCTCTGAGCCCATGCCTCTCAACCAAGTTTGTCTAAACCTCCAGTGAATCTGTTGCTGGCTCTCTGCTAGAACTGGGCAGCTGAAATAATTTTGCAGAACTCAGCTTTATCAAGTGTTAAGTCACACACATGCATCACCCACCCCCACCCCCATCCCACTTCTGTAATCACTGCTCTGAATCCGCGTGCTCAGTCTTGCCCTCTCCAGAGCTCGCAGAAGGCTGTCCGCATTTGTATGAGGATGCTCTTTGAGAAGTCAGATGAAGCAGCTGGGCACAGCTGGTCCTCACTGCGGCCACAGAGAGGGCACAGCAGATGGCACATTCAGCACCGTGTAAAGGTGATTGCCCAGAAAATTCCAAGCAGCTGTGTGTTGATCTGAGTTAGACTAGCAGCAAAATTAAATATGGAATGCAAAATTGTAAAACCCTGCCTCCAAGAATGTCTGTGAAAGAAGTCAAGTTTTCAAAACCTCCCTAGATGATTCCCTCCATCCACACTTTAAGTTTTGCTTCGATGTCTTGCAGTGATGGAGCTGCAGGTCCCTTCTCTATCTCCTCACCCGAAGGGCTCGTTCCTAATAAAGATGTGCCTGGAAGTGACTAATATTTTTGTCTGGCTGTGTTCTATGTTCTCAAAACTGAAAGGGAAAGCATCTTGCAGTGTTCGGGCTGGTGGGACAGACCTGCGGGTCAGGGCATGTGCCCTTAGGCTTGGAAACCTGAGTTCTAGCCCCAAGGTCCATGCAGTAGAAGGAGAGAGCTGATTCTGAAAGTTTCCCTTAACTTCCACGCTCATAGTGGCACGGATGTACATGTGCACACACAGACAACTCCTTTTTAAAAAAAGATCTAGTTTTAATTGTATGTAGTTGTGTGTGCCTGCACGTGCTTATGGATGTGAGTGGGCACTCCTCAGAGGTGTCCCATCGCCCAGGGCTGGGAACTGAGACTGGTCCTCTGCAAGATCAGCAGGCACTCTTACCCATTGAGCTGTTCCTCTAGCCCATGGTCTTTTAATTTTTTATTGAAATGAGAAAATGTAAATATAATGCCACCTGTAGCCAGCTGGCTATTGTTTAGGAGCCAGTCATTACTTCCATTCATATTTCATACCTGGTACCGTGCTGTGATTGGCTCTTTCCCTTGTGGGCCCTGTCTCCCCACTTTACCCAAGATGTCCAATTGTCAGGATCCACACTGAACACTGGAAATTCCCGGGGAGGCAGAAGCAAAGGACTCTGCTGGGATCTGTAGCCATCAGGGTTGTCTACTCTCTTGTATGTGGCAGCAGCAGTGTGTAAAGTCCACTCCAGGCACGTTCATTCGGCCGCATCAGGAGACAGATCCTCTTGATTAACCTCACAATGCTGGTCACAGTGGAAACAAAGTCATAGAAGGGGAAGAAAATGTGTGTGTCTCCAGTTGCTTCCAGAAGGCCTTCCTAAACCAAGGCCCTGGACCCCCTCCTCGTACAAGGAAATGAGCTCCAACAGGCTTTACAGTGCTTTGGAGCTCATGTCCATGTCCCCCATCTCGTATGACTCTGTACTTAACAGACCATCACTACCCAGAGGAATCCTCTCCTGCCTACAAACAAGGAGAGGAAAGGACACCCAAGGCTTCCTTAAGCCCTCTTCAACAGTGAGAATGAGGGGGGTGGGAATGGGGGTTGTAAGGTGTGGTGCCCGCGCCATGAGCAAGTCCGAGGTATGGGAGAATAAAAGACAGGACGTCCAACCATTTGTGCTAAGAGAATGCGTCTGCTGCCCTTATTGTCCGAGAATGAATGTATGTGTGTATCCTTATTGCAAGTGCTAAGAGGTCTCTCTGTGAAGATGGAGCAGCCTTATATACAGACTTAGAGCACAGTGGAAAAAACCCAGGTATAGGAGCTCGTGTTTTCCTTGTGCTAGATGTTGATGTCAGGTGGGCAAGGCCGGGGCTGTAAGCCAGGACTAGAGAGCAGGATGCACCTGTGGCTATCAGCTGACAAGCAATGCACAGAAATCTGTGGGGGCTGGGATCCAACATAAGGGTCCCCACTATTGAGCATGACTTTAATATGGGGACTCTTTCCTATGATTCCTTGGTCAGGGGAAATTAAGCCTGTGAAATGCAGACCCTTTGAGGAAGGACAGTCCTCAAAGAGATTGAAAGGGTCACAAGATATACACTAAATCTTCATTCCATGGTTTTACACATCAATAGAATCTACATGGTCTTTTACCACATTTTTCATACTTTGTTAAGTAAAGCGAGTAAATTTTTTTTCCTGGCTATGTATGATATCAACAGCAGAGAATGAAATAAACTCAAAGTATCATGACCTCGTGCACACAATTATCTGTTCAAAATCTTTAGTCTTCGAGAGTCCCAGGGTGCTTGGTGCCTGGTGACCTCAGCTCAGCTGAATACAGCAACACATCCAGTACCTGCGAGACGGGCCACTCCCTCCATGTTAGGATTGCAACTAAGCAGCTGACAGTGGTGGTTTCAGCTTCCTGCTCACACAGGCCAGCATTCAGCGAATGGCCGCAGGGTGAGGCTAACTCTGACTGGCGTCAATGCTGACAAATCCTGGGCATTTCTTGGACATCTTGAAGCAGATGTGGAATGTTCTCAGTAGCTGAGATGGTGACTGACGTCTGCACGTGATGACGACACTGAACACACGGATCCAGCTCTCCCATCTTAGCTGCTCTCTAAATGCCAAGGTCCCCTGCCCCCCAAGGTCTCATTCTGTAGTTCACATGACATCAAACTCAGTAATCTTCTTGCCTCAGCCTAAGTACTTAAATTAAGACATTAGCCATCACACCTGTCTTTCATTCCAAGACTTATGTAGGTTTTCACTCATTTGACCTCACTGCAATCCTATAGGCTCATTCTTAGTAAGTACATCACATCCATTTTGAAGATTGGCTACACTGAGGCACAGAGAGGTAACATGTTGAAGGTGTATCAACGTCAACAGAGCCAACTTCTCGGAGTAGGCAAACATAACTACTCTGCCTTCATTCAGTGTTTTCCATAGAAGACATCTGTATCTTTTGGCCCAAGAAGCGAATCAATAGACCTTCCTGAGTCTGTAGTAGATGGGAATTAACACAGAGATTCACAACTGGACAATGGGTACAGAGTGAGAGCCTAGGGAGCACCCACTCCTAAATGGGATGTCTTCGTCACACTCCTCCCATCAAGGCTCAGGACCTATGCAGAAGAGGAAGCAGAAAAACTGTAGAGGTAGTGGATGACTCCAAAGAAACAGTGTCTTCCAGATACACTAGGACTGACGCACATGGGGACTCACAGAGACCCTGGCAGCGAGCGCAGGGCCTACGAAAGACTGATGGGGTCCAAGCACTGAGTGGGGAAGTGGGTACAGGGTCCACCCCCTACGAGGAAGCTGTTTGCAACAGATAAAAGCTAGCAAAGGGAAGATTTTTTTTCCAATGGAGGGCCACTGGGTGTAAAACAACTATACTCTAGGATAGGTCCCATACCCCAGAGTAGTTGGCCAACACAAAATAAACCTCCATGTTTGGTTTGGTTTGGTTTGGTCTATGGGATTTTTGTTCCACTTTGTTTTGACAATTTTTTGTCTTTGTTTTTTTGTTTTAGGTGTGTCTTTTTTTTCTTAATGAGAGAGGAGAGAGAAATAAGATGAATTGGATAGGAAGGGACATGGGAAAGATCTGGAAGGAATACATTATGTGAAAAAATTTAAGTTTTATTATACGAGTTGGGTGCTTTGCCTGCATGTATGTCTATGCACACACATGTGCCCCACATGTGTGCAGTGCCTGTGGAGGCCAGGGGAGGGCATCAGGGCAGTAGGTCCTCTGGGAATGGAATTACAGATAGATGATAGCCACCATAATAATACTAGGAAATTGAACCCCAGTCCTCTGGAAGAGTAGTCAGTGCTCTTAATTGCCAAGTCATCTCTCCAGCTGCCACATTTTAAAATTTATTATTAATTTTATGACTGTTTTCCCTCATGCATGTATGTGTGCGGTGAGCAGATCTAAAGAGGATGTCAGGTCCCCTGGTACTGGAGTTACAGATGGCTGTCAGCTCCCATGTGGATGCTGGGAATTCAACCTGGGTCCTCTGCAAGAGCAGTAAGTGTCCTTAACTGTTGAGTCATCTCTCTAGCCTAGGGATGGTTTTGACTTTGGAGTCAGTTTTGCAAGTAAAGGCAGAGCGTCTCCCAGTTATATGTCAGTCCTCACCATCTTCTTCCCCTTGCAGGCAGCAGGGCAGCACCCTTACTTCATGAAGGAGGTTACCCCTTCAGGGTTACTGGGACCACTGTGCACTGCTCTTAGGATGCTATAGAGGTGATTTCTGGGTTTGTAGGAACACATAGGCTTTAGAGTTAGAACTAAATTTTCCCCCAGTTCTATCATGAGGGTGGGTATGCAACCACCAAAACCAGCAGAGTAATGATCTGCATGAGGTGAGAAGGAAGGCAGGTTCAACACAACTCAGTAGCCAGTGTTGACTCAAACTTTAAGAGTCTGACACTAGACAATTTATTTTAGGCATAGTTAAGTACAGCACAATTTGGAATAAAGTATTCTGGTGTCAGTTAACTCAAACCCATGTATACAATAAAGCTTAAGTCATACCTACATTAAAATTCTTTCTAAAGTTCATGAGACCTCTTCCATAAATACAGGCCTTGTAGATTGACTATATGTGATGTCTTAAAGGTCTGGGGAAGGATCTGGTGTGGTCTTGGTCATACAGATATCTCAAAGGTCACCAGGCCACTTCTCTGGGTCACACATTAAGGTAAGCTAGGATCTATCAATCTGGTATGGTTTCATCGATCACAAGACCAATCACCCTTTCTGACTAACATAATTTCTTCTAAGGGAAATGATATGTGAAATGTCTGGCATTCAAGTTGATGAAAAATGATCCTCTTGAGTTCTTCAGGCCTAACTAGCCTGTAGAGTTCATGCAGATGCCTCTTCCTGGAGGCCACAGGTCCCTGAGTCTCTCTAGACTGTGCCTGGCATTTCTTTCAGGCGCTGCTTTCCATACATGACTGTCACGGGAAGCCTTGCCTCTGAAGTTCATAAGGACAGGACTTCATGGTGTCATTGATATCAAGTATTCCTAGTGCCTTGTCGGGGCTAAATTCCCTGGTCAGATTCCCTGAGTGATAAGCAAAATGACATAAGAGTCCTCAACCTGGAGACAAGTAGCCTGGCTAGTTTTCCCAGTTAACTCTTGTGCAATATTTAACTATGTAAAGGTGTGCTACATTTGTTTATGCTGTGGAATATTACTTTACTCTGTAAAGGTATGTTACATTTGTTTCTGTTGCATTTGTTTAATGAGTAAGGATGGGTTACACAGCCAATGCTAGCCAGCCACGAGATAGACAGAGAAACAGCAGGAGAGAGAGAGAGAGAGAGAGAGAGAGACAGAGACAGACACAGACACAGAGAGACAGAGAGAGAGACAGAGACACAGAGACAAAGAGAGAGAGACAGAGACGCAGACACACAGAGAGAGACAGAGATGGAGTGAGGGAGGGAGGGAGGGAGGGAGGGAGGAAGGAAGGAAGGAAGGAAGGAAGGAAGGAAG